TAGGCAAAGAGAGAATATTATGTTCTCTACTAAAATACGAGCTAGAGCGTAAGGGAAACATATCTTTTAAATATCTTGGATGATCAAGAAAATGATTATTTTCAAAAATAAGAATCTTTAATTAGTGATTTCAGTCATTCACATGACTTTTTCATTTGATCCAAGGGTGATACGGAAAGGAGAAATTAGAACCCAGATCCTCTAAGGGATGAAGGGGTAAAAGAGAGGTCAAAGGTCATCATCAGAGTCGAGTAAGGTTTCGTTTGGAAGCCTAGTATTCAAACTCCATTGATTATGCAAGAAGACGTAACGACGTAATTAGCATTAAATTTATTAAAGGATGTTAGTTCGTAACGGTCAGCTTAAGAGAAAGTCACTCCGCCCCAACTCAACTCTCCCTTTTCTGCTGACTTATTGGCAATCCGTGCTACTCCCTCGCACTTCGACAGAGTGAGAGGGAGGGGTTACCCTTACCTTTCAGGAGGGATACCGAACTGCTTTAAGTCACGTTCGTGAAATTTTTAGTGATCAGTTTTAATGTGATTTTGTTGGATGCACTACTTAAGTAGCATTCATCCGTTCTGTGTGGCGAGGTACATGTATATCGCCAAGGTACATTTATGGCTCCCCCCCCGGACACATTTTCATCTACTTCAAGGCTTGCCATGGTTTCATCTTAACCTTTTCAAGTTCATAATTCGCAATCTGTGTCAATCTTCTCCAAACGAAACCATCCTTGTGCCTTTTGTGTTTTTCTAGCTTAGCGAACTAATGTTGCGTAATCATTTACAATCCGTGCATCCTTAGCCATTCTTTGCTACTGCCTATTTTGTGCATGCTCTTCTATCTTACGAAACTAATATTTTTTTAATTCATTTATGACCCGCATCAATCGCCATCCCTTATAATTCTTGTTTTTTCATGATTCATTAGTGCCTCTTTTGTTATTTTTGTTTCTTGCTCATACTAATTTTTTCCTAGTCTTTCTTTAATCCGTAGCACAATTTAATTTTCTCCTTTACCAGCTGTCCGTGTCTCTTTAGATTTATTCTTGCCCTTTTATAATTTACTTACACTGAACACTATTACTTCGAGAATTTTTTCCCACCGACAGCAATGTTAAACAACCCAGAGGAGGGCAAAAGAGAGAGAAGAGAAAACACAAACAATTCTGACAAACAGTTCATTTGAGCCCTTTACACCTTAACATCAATATGGATATTCTCCATACTGTTCTCCGTACATTTCCAAAGGGGCTGACGAGGAGAATCTGTTTAACGATCAAGAGCTGCTTTAGTTGGTGATCAACTCCTCTATTCTCATGACTTTCAAGTGTGATTCAGGGGTGATATGGTAATGAGAAATTAGATGCTAGTCACTCTCAGGGCTAAAGGGTTAAGACCCGTAAACTCACCTCGCATCCAGTCCCAACATGCTGTAACAAGGCTCGGTAATAAGTGGACTGATTGGAAGAGATGTGTCCTGGGATTGCTCCAGCGACACGTAAACTTGATAACCAAAGTCTCTTGGAGGGGGTTCTGTCAAAAAAGTGCTCGGTTAATTCCATTTGTCAAATCAAAAGAAGCATTTCAAATTTGAAAAATTTCCAACTGACTGTCGAAAGTATCGCAAGACTGCATTGGCGTTGCTTCATCATGCTCTGTGATGGGTCTTGAGAAATCACGCCACACACCGCTCTCACATCAATAACACGCAAGACTAAACCAACTGCGCCTTGGTCAAACGCGTTTTCCCCCGCTTGAGATCGATCACGCGCAATTACGACCAATTCTCATTGGCTCGTTGTGTTTTAAACCTTTGTTCTGATTGGTCATTGGGAGTCGCTCTGGTTCAATATTAAAAGCTTCGCCAAAATTCGCATTATGATCTCAAATTTCCATCTCGAAAGCTTCGTCAAAATTCGCATTATGATCTCAAATTTCCATCTTGCTTTTAAAAGTGTTCACTCAACAAACACTTTTGTCACCATACTAAATCTGAAGGCAAAAATTAACGCACAGGTCATAGCTAACTACACCTCTGGCGGGACACACACGTCTCGATATTTTAAAGGCTACCAATAGCGCTTGTAGTCTAATTTTATCTTTACCTTCTCTTGTAAAATGTCGATCCTGTCCAGGCCTGTTGACATCCAGTAACTCATATGGGGAAGCAAAATAACAGAGGCGCATTCGACGGCCTACGGAAAGACATGCGAGTAACCTTCATGAATCATAGTATCAATATTAAAAGGCGCTTTCTAACAAAAGATTCCAGCATAATTCCCTTCTTCATATTTCCCTGATTTCCCAAACCCTGGTAAGACCGAAAAATTGCCGAAGATACTCCGGTGCGTTCCGAAAATGTATATACTTATCCGATGTCATTCGAAAATGGCCGAAAACGTTCCGAAGACATCCTGTAACTGTGATGCGCAGATTTATCTCTCAAACATGCTATTTTTCGACCACTTGCGATAAGAAGTTGGTTAGACTTGAATCGAAATGTTGTACGAACCTCCCTGTCTCGGGGTGATAAAGCCGACAGGACATTGTGTGATGGCTTCGGTGGAAGTCACATCTGTACTGTTAGATAAAAACGGCAAATAGAGTTAGCATGAGGGAAATTTAGTTGAAAGTTTTTAAGGGTCCAAAATTAAATTATTTACGTTTGTACCTTTTTAGAAAATCTTTGAATTCCACGACTTTTTGTTGTTTTGCATTGTTAACAATCAAGATAATTTTGGTATAACTTGAAGACGATCACGTAATGCAAGCATTTTTTCCTTTTTACTTTCACATAAACATCGTTTTCAGTCATTTTTCATGACCTTCCACAATTAAACTCTATGATGGATGTTCTTTCTAAAGTTTTGTTGTAGTTTTGATAAACGGGTCACAGAATTTTGCTGTCTTCAATTCAGTCAGTGATCATACTGGTAACTAAAAAATTGAAATGCGCTTCGAATGACCACAGACTAAATTAGAATCCATTGGGTCCTATTACCATTATTAGTGATAAGAAATAATCATTACCCAAAGAATGCTGCCATTGTATTAATATCGGTTTCCACTGCTTTGAGAGCTGCAAGAACCTTTGGTTTTTGAAATCTGAAGAGTGATATAATCAAACAATTAAAATAATAATAATAATAATAATAATAATAACTGTGCAATTTTCAATGGAACTCAAGGTTCCAGTACAATGTCAAGCAGAAAGGGGACGAGAGGAAATAAAAATATCAACTAACCCAGGAAAACCATCATGATTCAACATAATTTTTAAAGCTAAATTTTAAGGGAACATGCAGCAGACAGCACATGCAGGTGAAAATTGGCAGTGAGATCTTGAGAAAGAAAATGTTAATTACTGTATATATAACTCACGTGTCACGAGAGAGCTGATAAAGATCACATAATCCTTGTAAATGGCATAAAAATTCATTATAATCTCCCTCCCTGCAAGATAGATCAATAAATAGTAAACCCTTTCTAGCCTAACATCAGTATGCATATTCTCCATACTGTTCTCTATACATTTCTAAGGTGCTGACAAGGAGAATTTGTTTAACAATCAAGAGCTTCTTTAGTTTGTGATCATTTCCTTTATCCTTATGACCTTAATGTGTAATCCATGGGTGATATTTTAAGAAGAAATGTAACATGCTATTCTCACCCTCAAAGAGTAATTAACCCTTTAATTCCCATGAGTGACCAAGACAGAATTTCTCCTTACAACATCAACACAATATCAACCAGATAAGTGATGAGAGTAAAGAAATATATAAATTTGGGGATAATTAGTTGATCCAATACTTAATTCTCTGAACTGACATTATTAGAATTGTATGGTTGGGAGTAAGGAGAATTACAAATTTGATCTGGGAGTTAAATTAAAATGAAAAAGGTAAGAAACTTCCAATTAGCAGATGACAACATTGTAACAAGATACCCAATACTTAAAGATAAGAAGATAACAGACTTAGCAGAATGAAAATGATCATTAGGTTAGTAGCATCTACTGAAGAATCAAAGCATCTTTGATTTTTTGTGTTAGCAAGGGCTCCATAAGCAGCTGCCAACAGTGTAATGGGCCACTGTGTCATAAGGTGAAAACGAAACACCAGAACCAGATTGCAGTCAGAGGTTTTACAGGCAGAGGAAGACTGCTTTTTACTGATTTTTATTGAAACCCTTCTGCCTGATTATGCAATTATTATTTACATCATTAAATTAAAGAAGTTGAACTTATTTTTCTACCTTAAAACTCTTGTTAGCTCAGGGCAACTCTGTGGAAAAAGTTGAGAATTAAACACCAGTCACAACAAACAAGAGAGAGCAATCTTCTTCATCATTTAAATTAACCAAAATTATTTTCAACTAAAAACCAAACAAAGCCTCTGTCTCTTGCCTCAGGATCTCCAGTGTGCGCCACTTTCACTTCTGAAACTGTACCATCAGCTGCCATTCGAACCTATGTTTTCCAAAGACATGAGGAAAGATTTACTCAACAAGTTTTGACCACTTTCATAACCTAGCTTTGTCTATCAACAAGGAAAGGCTTTTTTAAGTGGTAAATAAAAAAAATATTAATATGATAATCTAAAACACATTTGGCTTCTGACTGCAAGGAACAGAATCTCTTCTTGACAATAAGCTCCTCAAAATTTTCTCCACACCCTAATTGACTCTTTAACTCCCAAGATCAAAATATCAATTCTCTACACTATACTTCATACATTTCTTATAATTTTGGCTTTGAGAATTTAGTGTACAATCAAACAACATCTCCAAATTTTTGTTTTACTTTCTTCTCATTGCCTTCTGACTGGAAAATGTATTAACATTTTAAGGAGAAATTTCTTTAGGTCACTCCTCAGCATGAAAGGATTAACATGCGCAAATAACTGAGAGGAGATAATTTTATTACACTATCCCAGCCTAATACCATAACCCTTTAACTCTCAAGATCTCATTAGTAATTCTCCTAACTGTCTGCCAAATGATTCTCATTATGTTAGTTTGGAGAATTTGGTATCGGATCAATTAGTAATCCCATAATTGATATTTTTCTTTATTCTCATCACTTGTTTGCATGATAATCTATAGATAAAGTGAGGAGAAACTCTGTCTTGGTCACTCATGGGAGTTAAAGGGTTAAGTAGGTTACATTGTATTATAAAACAGACATTCCCTTTAAACACACCTCAACATAAAACATGTCAGAATTTATGAAGCATTCTCTGCCACTTTCAATAAACTTCAACCTGGTAAAAAGTCATGGTAATATCAGAACTGTTAGTCTACATAACATGCATTAATCAATATAAAACTTCAATGTCTCCTTCCCAGGTAACCTCCCAAGCATTTAAACTTTTGAAGATTGGTTTATTCCAATTTCTGCTCCCAAAGACCAACATTGAGTTCAAATGCCAGTTCAAATATCCCAATCCCTTCCAGGCAAGGTCCAATTCCCCCCCCCCCCCCCCCAGGTAAAGATGACAGTCAAATGCCAGTGGGTTGCTCTGGGAGGGGGGGGGGCATGGTAAGGCAATAAATTAATTGACACATTATATGATAGGCTAAATTATAAATGCATATTGATCACAGAAGACATCACAGTGTGGTAAGAACATCAGGAACACACCCCACCCCACCACCCCTTGTGTGCCTCCTTTTTAGTTCCAGCCCCTGTTTAATGTCGCATGTGATCTATTACTAAACAGACAAACTGCAGCAGGGAACCTTATTTTTAAATCTATGAATCAGATTTCAATGAACTTTGAGAACAAAAAGTTTCTTACCCAACTTTTCTTGTGATGGCTTCAAGTCTCTGTGCAACAACCTTTATTGATTTGTCTTTCATGGCATTTTGCAACTTGTCTAAACATTCTGAGATGTAATTTTTCACTGGTGCAAGGTTTTCAACTTGTTGTTGTCTTTCCTGGTTTGAGAAAAGAGAAACTGAGGTTAACCAAATACTTCAATACTTTGTAACAGAGGGATCTGGTTTGCACCAAAGTTTCTGCAGTATAAACCCTTTACACCCTAACATCAGTATGCATATTCTCCTTACTGTTCTCTACACATTTCCTAACTTGCTGACAAGGAGAACTTTAGTTAATGATCATTTCCTTTATTCTCATGACCTTAATGTGTGACTCGGGGGTGATATCGTAGAGATAAATTAGGTGCAAGTGACTTATAGCAGTTAAAGGGTTAACCAATTTGGAGTGTTGTCACAGTCCCAGGAGTGCCAGGTTGTTGGTTATAGACAGGCTGCCCCCCTTCCCCCCCCTGCCCTCAATTTTTTGTATTATCAACCAATTAGGAATACTGCCACTCTCCTTGAATGCCAGGATGTTGCTCCGCGACAGGCTCAACCCCTCTGCCTCCCCCTCTCCCTCTTCAAAAAAAGAAAAAAATCCTTTTTATTGGTTTCCCCATCAAAGTTCTACACTAATAGTGGAGCTTGCAGAGGGTGGCCCCATAATTATACAAAATAGTAGTAACCTATCAAGCTGAAAAAATTTGGATGTACAACTGTGTGACCGACCATACAAGGTGCTACTTTTAGCAAGCACAGCCAACTGTACCACAGGCACTATCTTATAATCAGTCCTCTACACGGACATGGAGAAGTTTCAAATGAAAATCCATTAATATTACCACGCACTTTATCCATTGTAGGGGCTTTAGTTTTGTTGAAGAGAAGTGCGGAAAAAAAAAATTGCGAGCTCCGCTTTTAGGCTTGCCTAAATCTATACATTTCCTTTTTCTACTCCTAAATGGAGAGAGACTCTTTGAGAGTAAAGTCTATTGCCCACAAACATAATGTAGTGAGCTGACTGATGCTTACAACAGGATATCATGATCTGGAGTAAAATGTGCTAACCGCAATGCGAGAGGTTGTAAGTAAGCTGCGACTGCTTACAAGGGAATGGAGCTTACAGTGGTCTCCATGATACCAAAGGAAGAAGAAAATTGCTAACCCCACTTCTATTTTGACATTTATTTATTTATCTGTTTGTTGGCCAGATTTAAACAGGCTAGCCCAGTTAAGCTTAAAGCTGGTTTAAATGGGAACCTGGGCAGACAGAGGCATGAGAGTAAATTTAAAGCATCCTGTGTGAAAGAACACAACGCAATGTCCCAGCCATGTCTTGCACAAGGATTTCCCAACCAAGAGTCTGAGGGGCAAGTCATTAAGCAGCTGTGTCTTGTATGACAATGATAAGTGTAGTGATTTAAATCTTGATTATGGGGCTGTCATAAACATTCATAAATGCTGAATAAGACATATCTTACTAGACCTGAGCAACATTCAATAAAGTGAAATTTAGGACGACTTACCTGAGAAGCTCGAATGGCTTTGGCAGGATCAGGCCAACTTGCACAGCTCTTACACTTTGATCTAATACTGTTCAGTAAGTCATTAAACTTACTGTGTTCCAAGTAAAAGTTTAGTGATCCAAAGGCATGAACTGAAAGACAACAAAGTGTTTTCAAAAAGAAACACTTTGCCTTATTCACAAAAAAATATCTTGAGCCCAACCTGACCCAAGAAATCCACCATACTATCAGTATGCATATTCTCTATACTGTTCTCCTTACATTTCCTGCTGTGCTGACAAGGAGAATTTGCTTAACAATCAAGAGCTTCTTTAGTTGGTGATCTTTTCCTTTATTCTCGTTACCTTAATGTTTGATTCTGAGGTGATATTGTAGGGAGAAATTGTATGTCTGTCTCTTTCAGGGGTTCAAGGTTCAAAGCACGCCACTGCTATTACACAATTTACATTGTTCTGATCGCTCTCGCATTTTTTAATTGTTCCACAATCAGTCCATCTGTCTATATCAATACATCCATCAATCTCTTTATGTATAAGAGGAACAATCTGACGTCAATTTTTTTCGATCTGTACAGAAATCAAAGGGACAAAAAATAAGGACGAAAATGTGAGTTGAAGGGTTCTGCGGATCAGAGTTCCGCAAATCAATGGTGGTGGACCAGTAATGTTTACTTCCGGGAAGTAATTATTGTACTGATCCATCTTAATGTTTACAAGAAAAATATTTGGAAGACAATCCTACACCTCAGTGCTAAGTGCTAAGTATTTCATCATTGGAGCAACAAAAAAGAAAAACAAGGGACGACGCGTCAAAGTATTCCCAAACAATCCTCGAAACATCATATCGATCGTTATGGTTCTTGTTAGCCCTCTGATTTTAGACGTTTTCGTTGATCGCCACTTCAATTAATACTCACTTTTAGTGCCATCAAACTCTTTGCCTTTTAATCCAAGCTCTTCTTCGTAGCTGTTCACGAGTTCCTTCAACTGAAGACAACATGATCCACATGTTCTCATTTCAACTGCAGCCGCCATTTTGTTTTAAAAGCTCTTAATTGTCATGCGTGTATCACCGCTGATCAGGCCTACATAAAGGCTCAAGAGTGGCCATGCGCCAGTCAGGGAACACGCCGTTGGGTGAGGAGCAAAGGGAAGAGGTATTAGCCCAGAATTTAATTTTGTTTAGTTAACTGAGTTGATGATGTAAATTGGCCAACGTAAAGAGTTTCTGCAGCTTACGTTTCGAGCGTTAGCCCCTCGTAAGAGCGACGAAGTAACCCGGATGGCTCCAGCTTTTAATTATTCTTAACTTTACTCTGTGATTGGTCCAGACAACTAGCGCCTTCCTGTGAATCAATTAAATGCAAAACTAAGAACAGTCGCGACATGATCATCCACGTTTTCCCAAGTTTTCCCGCGCTTCAAGCAGTTTTGAGTTCTCATTGGCTAATGATTATGTAAACCTATGTTCCGATTGGTCGTTGGATTTTCTTTGGTTTTGCTCTTTTCGACAGTCAATTGACAACTGCTCTAACACTTTCGATAATATCCTAGTTTTAACTTTGAGTTCTCATTGACTGCTTCAGGAGCCCATGTCCTTTACGGACGGTGTGGATGAAGATTCTTGAGATGAAGACGACTAGCACGCAGCTTGCTCACGCAATTGCTTGTTTCCGCGCTCTCCATCATCGCTGGCATTTCGCCTCTTCATCGTCTTGAATTTGGACTCTTTTCATGAAATTTTCCTTAGAGGGGCCAGAATCAGAGGACGGGTAACCTTTGATACACACGAAAATTAAAAAAAATAATAATAAATAAAATACAACGATATAATCCGCACTCCTGCTAATCTTTTTTCGCAAGTGTGAAAAAATTTGCAAAGGATAGTGGGATATGTTATGAAAGGAAGGATTGGAATACTGGAATAAAAGCAAAAGAAAGGCGGAATTTGCGTACTTTTGATAGGAAGAAGTCCCCGCATAAGGCCGCATTTTTTTTTCTTCGCGTTTCATGGATCGTATTACCTAAGTGAACTCGAGTAGCCTACATTCCGCAAAAAGATAGTCTAAAAATAAACTGTTCTGTGAAATGCCGAGACAAAGGGTCAGTATGGAAGTTGAAGGCTCCAAGTAATGGGCTCCTGCTGCTTTTGTTATTTTCTTGTGTTTCTCTAAGTCATACCAATTTTTTTGCGACACGAGACTAACAGACGCCTTCACTTAATGTTATATATGGAACTAATAAACATTTATATCCGAATTACAATTAAAGCATACTTAATATGACTTCGTGTCGTTTTCAACGGATACAACTTAACGATTCTTATTAAAAATTGAAGATCAGACATCTTAGCTTTGCTATCCATTAACCAATGAAAACTCTCTTGAAATACTTTACTCAAACTTAAGTCTTACTCATGTTACAATTAAAGGAAACATCCGCCGAAAGAAATATCTCATCGACGTAAAGTGATCGACAGGTTAATGCGTAGGAAATGAAGTGTTGGATAAGCCAAGAGTGACGTCATTTGAAAATGTCATATAAGTACATAAAATAATTGTGAGATTACAAGCGCCCTTATTTGTCAATAAGCTATAATTTATTGCAGTAGTATAGCCATGATTTATCTTGTTAAAACAAAAGACAGCACTTTCTATCAGTTTACCGGTATTACCATTTGCGTTGTTGTGAGAACACCTGAATTGATTATAACTCACTCGCATCCGGTTCGCGATTTTCAAACTTGTCTCATGTTCTCCCAATATCCTGAGTGGGTTACTTCCCTGATAAACCGATAGAAAGGGCGGTCTATTACTTAAGTATATTATGCCATTGAACAAGTTATATATGACCACACGAACCTTTGATAAGGAAAAGCGTTCTAGGGATTTTCGCTCTCTGCAACCGCATCCGAGCTTCCTAAACAATTTTTAAAGTTCCAAAGAGAGGAAAGAAATTAAACAAGCAAAATAAAAAATCAAGAAGTCTGAGATTTGATATAGCCCCGAAAACAGCGAAAAGACGCGAAGGATTAGTTGCAGACACTTATGTTGCTCTAACGTAGAAAGATAATCCTTTGTAAACACGCGCTGCTTTGAAATTGATTTCAGTAGAATCTTAACACCTCATTGCTTCGTCGACACGCGATACTAAAATGGCCCTGTTGTTTTTTTGGGGCTGTTAATCTAAAAAGGTTAAAAATATTTAGCTTTTTAACTGTTTGAAATCGTGTTTGGAGAAGATTTTGCAAATTTCTTCATTTCCACTGTTTTATATGATATGCTTACATTTGGTTTTTGTTGCTTTTTCTTAGGTCTTCATTTAAATTCAAATAATTTCCGTTAGATATTTTTCGGAGAGATAAGAAACAGATAAGCAAGATTCTGCCAAATGTATTTCCACCGGTTCTTAGCATTGCAGTATTGTCAGTTATTCCTCTCTGCTTCTATACGAAGGTTAAACCTGTAGAAATAACGTTTTCATAACAATAATAAAAAAAAAGAACAATATATATTACCACAAAAATAGAGCTTTGATACGATGAGAAGTATTTTATTTGACAGCTATAGATTCTAATGTTTAAAGTGATTGGAAACTCAGACGAACGGACTGTTGAAATTCACTACTATACTTCGGTTTCCGATGCATACATGCTACGCAATTGAACAATTCATGTAAATCGATGAGGAAAAAAAGTCCATAATTTTTACTTTACTCCAGTGATTTCATATTTTAAATAGCGTCATTTTCATCATCTGAACAAGAGCTACTAAAACTACCCCTCGATTGACCAACAAGGGGAGAAGTTTCGATACTTTCCAAAAACGAGTTGACTCTCTCCGTTAATGTCATATCACCCGTACTAAGACTTCGCCTCCGCGAATTCAAGTTGCTAAGTTCTTTTGGCTGGAAAGAATTTACCGCTAAGAGATCTCTGCGGCTAGCTAAGGGTGTCCCGTAACAATCTTGTACTGTTGATTTAAGAGCGACCCTGTTTGATGGAAGTTTTAAATCTTCCACTACACTATGTGACTGAGTTCTGCTTCGTCTACGGTCAGCAATTATATTCAAACTTTCATTGTCCACCGTGACAAGAGTCCTTCGCTTAGCTCGAGCGCCTGGACTGATAGCATCTTTTATTGAGGGAAGATGAGTCGCTACTTTTCCATTTTCTTCACAGACCAAATGCAACTCCGGAGCAGATCGATAATTTTCCGTACAGGTTTCTATTGACAATTTCCCGTTAGTATCTGTCGAGTTTGGAAGCCTCGGAAAGCGAACACATTCACCATACATCTTGGAGCTGACTGTCGAAGATGACGTACTCTCACTCGATTGTGTTCTGCTAAGAACAATTTTCCGCAAACTTTGCATTCGTGATTGCACCTTGTTTTTTTCCGCCATGTGTATTTTCTCTGTGTTGTTCTTAAACAGATCGATATCGCGCTGCTGTTTTTCGAGTCGTGCATTTTCTTGTGCGTTTAAGGTCTCGGCTCGCATTTTACGCTCGAAACTTCCACTCAGCACCGCAGATTTTAGACTTCTCGATCTCTCTCTCCCCAATTGAGCACTCATATTTGACCCTGAAAACAACTCACAATCGAGATTTCTCCTGCTTGTTCTTGAGCGGTCACGGTAAATGTCGTGGTGTCATCAGTTAATCCAAACTTTTTGTTAGAGTGTTAATCTCGTGTTGTCCTCTAACAGGTAGCGCTTTACATCAAAGCGCAACGTCAAGCCAGTGTTGTATAGGTCATTGAATTGTCTAATTGTTCAAAAGAATTCAGGCGGAACTATCCCATGGCAATGTAATTGTTAATAAAATTTTTTCATCCCTCACGTAAATTGCTCTCCGGTATTTCAACAATTTGACTAAAACAATTAAGTGAAAACTTTTTTTTTCTTTGCTTACGATGGTAACTTGATGTCTTTGTTTTCTTTCAAAACTGAACGGAAACAAAACTGTCCCTCTTTAGACTTTGTGTGCAAATTTCAAATGCGCATTTTAAATTTACTCGCTCGTCTCGGTAATGAAACCGTATCATTGATATGTGTAAGACAGCAAATTGTTCCACTTGAGTTCACATGAATTAATACTGGATTTAAAAGTAAACAAGAGCTTAATCATGTACCTCAGATTTTCGTCTTATTTACCACTGTAGCTGATCTAATCACGTCTTGGAAGCCACTCAATGGAATCACAGGACAATGACGTCACGTAAATGACGTCACGTTGTCGACCACGTTCCCATGTGAAAGGGGGTTAACACAGAAGAATTAAGAGAAAATGAGAACAGAATCATGGTCTTGTTTTTCTAAGTTCTGAGTTTTCGTTTTATCTTTGTGTGTCATTTTTGCATGATACGGGCGCATTTTTGACGTGTGTTGTTAATCAGTTAACACAGCTATCTTTATCTTCTGTAAACACTGAAGCTCTTGCTTTTCAGTTGTTCAAACAACCTCGTCCCCAGAGTTTACTTTCCTCCTCCCTCGAGAAAGGATTCTGGTTGCGGGCGGTCACGTGTCTACGCGGGGCAAAGAGCACCGTAGGGAGGGTGGGTCCTCGACTTTATTTTGCCTTGTCGGCGGGAGGGACAAATCATGAGTGCTTTTTCAAAATGGCGCTTACGTTCCTGAATAACCTTCAAGTCACTTTGCTCTCAGCTGGCAATATATTGCAGATTTAAGTCTAAAAGTTAAACAATTAATCTTTCTTCAGCCACAATTGATGAAAGAAAGGCCACAGCGCGCAGTTCTCCACGCACGACCTGTAAGTCAGTAATGTCGGTTGTTTCCCCTTTCATGGGCGTTTCATCAAGTTCAATCTCTTTTGACGCTCGTTTGTTCGTAAAGAAAAGCCAGAGCTGTTCATTCCGAAAAAAGCCCTTAAGGATAGAACTTAAAATACTTAAAAACCTAAAGACCCTCGAGATTTTTCGCTTTAGAGTTGCTACTTCCTCCTCTATAAGGAGGCAAGGCCAGTATATTATGGGGATGTAAGAGGGTAAGATCGAGTGAGGATAACGATAGAATGC